TTTAATAAAGTCGAAGAAAATCAACTAGACAATGATGAAAATCAAATAGAAGCGGAGCAAGGCCATAACAATAATCTGGTTCAAGACGATGAAGATTGGGTGCCAGACGATGAACTACTAAATGATGTTGGAGATTATGTAGAAACTACAAGCACTCCAGATGTTGATAAACCTAAAGATGGCGGAAAAATAAGAGTGCACCTCATTGACAATGAACAGTACAATGACCTGATCAGATGTTTAAACGACGGTCAACGCCAACTCTTATATCATACCACTCATATCATAAGAAGGCAAATATGGGGCAGAGACGATCCTGCGATAAAGGCGTTTGTCACTGGTCCAGCAGGACATCTCAGAGCGGCGGTCGGACAGTAAAAGCGTGCTCCGTGTTCAAGCGAACTTGAATTAGGTCAGGGTAGTGCGTTTTTTGCGTATTATATACCAAAAGCTTCGTCTTGAACAGGCGCATCCAACGGTGTATCGCGCGCGAAAATCGGTTAGGGAACGAAGCGTTCAGGGCGTGATTAGCGATCGCGGGCGTAAATCCTTTGTTTACTGCCGGTCGCGAAAACCCCTTTTTCGTTTTTCTCAGGCCACAGTGCGAATTTTGCGTCGGACCAAAGATCCTCGCTACAGTGCCATCGAGGCGCTAATTTAGAGGTAGGTCGCGTGAACTTGCAGCAAGTTGCGGCAAAGTTGGGCTAAAAAAGTTCAAAGGCTGACACAGGGACCCAGAACAGCGGTACGGAGTCCTGACCTGGACGGTCGGATAGTCTTCTTCAAGATAAATCGACCAGTCCAAACAGCGGATCTGTGCGACGCTCAGCGGCTGAGCAATCGGCGTCTAAAGTTAGGTAAGGCGTTTTTAAGCGCGCGGGATCGTGCGCGTGTGGGAGAGTACGCGTGAGTCAGGTGGTGTACGTGCGGCGCGCAGTGTTCAGGATCGTGCGAGTGCGCGCGACCCGAGTGGTGTACGTGCGGCGCGTAGTGTTTAGGATCGTGCGAGTGCGCGCGAGTGCGGGCTCCGTGCCGATCGTGCGGGTGCGTAAGCCGGTCATCCCCTCCGGTTCGCCGGACCGGTATCCGTGTGCGAGTGCGCGGTGCGTGCGCGTTCGCGAGTGGCGCGCTAATACAAAACCGCGAACAGATCGGTGTCGATTTTGAGTCGATCTGTATAAGCCTTAGGGCGAAGAATTGCGGCGCTGTCGGCCCTCAGGTAAGGTGTCAGGCTTAATTAATTAAGTTAGCAGAGCTACATCGGCGTTAGTACGTTATTCGGAAAAGTCGTTGGGCTTGAGTAGGTAGGCTCGATAGTTTTAGGTTGACTCGTTCCAAGGACATGGTTATGTCCGACATGGATCTCGACAACTCATTCTCGGATGGGGGTGAATTCGAGGAGACACAGGAAACGTTAGGGGGGGGTGCCGGCGGTTCGGGGCGTCCTTCAGAGGACACCGAACCTCGGGTAAAAGCAAAACGGAGGAAGGTTGTTGACTCCGACGAGGAAGACGTTTCTGAACGTACCGAAGTCGGGGTGTCATCCTTCCCAGAAAAGGCTAGGTTGATCGGTAGGGAGATGGATGCTGCCCTTCTCAAGGAGAAGGACAAGAGGAAGATTTCGGCAGCCTTTCATAGGCAGATCTTGGAATTTCGAGGGAGGTATGAGGTTTTGCTGGACGAGGCCCTCCGGCAGAACACGGTTCTGTTGGGGAGGGTTGAGGAGGCAAGACGCGTACATTCGTGCGTAGGCTTGGTTAGGGAAGTCGTAGAGGAGGACGCCTCGGTCATCGGGAAATCCTCAAAGGCCAAGGTCCCGGCAAAGAAGACGGTCTCAGCAAGGGAGTCGGCCCCCGTGGCTCAAGCAGCCAAGGAGAACGACTTCATCGTGGTGGTCGGAAAAAAGAACAAGAGGAAGAAGAAGAAGAAGAAGAAGAGCAAGCAACCAGCGCCAGAAAAGGCCACGAAGACCCCGGGGGTGGTCGCCACCGCGACCAAAAAGGCTAAGGCCGTCGAGAGGGAGAAGGCCAGAGCCCCGGCTCGCGTCTTCGTCGTCTCGGCGGGCGATGCTGGTGCCGAGGCCGCCAAGAGGCAACTCTGGGCGGACTTGGTAAAGGGCGTGGCGGCGCCCAAACTCGGGAACTTCGCCAGGCTCCCCAGAGGCGACCTGGTGGTCAAACCGGCTGACGATGCGACGTACAAGGCGCTCAAGGAGATGGAGGCCAGCGGCAAGATGGTCACAGAAGAAAAGGCAAGGTGGCCGACTGTCCTCATCTACGACGTGGATAGGGACTTCGGTGGTGAGGTACTCCCAGTTCAGATCGTCGAGCAGAACTCGGGTTTAGGTTTGGTGAAGGAGGACGTGGTCCCCCTCTTCAAGAAGGGGCCCAAGACGGGCGACTTGGTGTGGTGGGTCTGCTCGGTCAGGCCTAGTGCATTCAAGTCCATCGTAGGGAAGAGCCTTTTCATCGGGCTCTCGAAGTGTAGGACTGTCGAATACGTTGACGTAAATAGGTGCTTCAAATGTCAGGGCTTCGGCCACATGGCAAATCGCTGCAAAGCGACGGAGGACACTTGCGGGCGTTGCGCAGCCAAGGACCATCGGGCAAAAGACTGCCAGAGCGTGCCGGTCAAGTGCGCCAACTGCGGTCAGGCTGCCCAGTCGGGCCACAAGGAATGTTCAGCTCTGCACAAGGCGACCATAAGGGTCGCCCGTAGGACAGATTTTGGCTCTAAATGATGAACTCGTCGACTTACTGTGTAGCCCAGTTGAACATGAATGGGAACCACCTCGTTCCTGATCAGATACTGGACTACAGCAGGGCTAACGGGGTTGAGGTGCTTCTGCTTCAGGAGGTACCGACCTCGGGTAACAGACTTGTAGGATTCGACTACAGTGCCGTCAGGACGGTTCTCAGCTGTAAGGAAGGTAGTGCAAGGGCAGCCATAGTTGTTCTAAATCAGGACATCGAGGTGGTCGCCTTGCAGGGGCTCAGCGATAGACACTTCGCCGTGGCTAGCCTTAGGAAAAGGCATGGCCAGGCGGTCGTTTTCGTGTCGGCTTACTTCAAGTACAGCATCCAGACACACATCTTTACGGCTAGGTTAGGTTTAATCTTGGATAGTATCGACCAGGATGTTGTGATAGGTGCTGACGTGAACGCGCACTCGCCGCAATGGTTCAGTCGGCCGGGCAACAACACGGGTTCAGCCCGTGGGACCCACGTCGAATCCCTGATTGCGGAGAAACACTTGACGGTGCACAACCAGCCAGGCCGCCTCGTCACGTACGAGAGGCACGGAATGGGGTCATCGAACATAGATGTGACTCTGACGAGAGGGGGTTCCTTGGTGAACTCCGTTTCTGAGTGGGACGTGCTCGATATCACCGATAGCGATCACAGGACCATCAGATTCAAGATCCGAATCGGATCAGGACCAGAAGGGCCCGCAATAGGGAAACGTCGATTCAATACTAGGAAAGCCGATTGGGATAGGTTTAGGTGGGTTCTGGCCCAGAAGGTTCTCGGTGACCCTGAGACCATGGTGGGCGGGTGCGATGTCGTCGCTGGTGCTCTAACGCGAGCCCTCGGGCAAGCGATGGAGGCCTCGATGCCACGCTCACGCAAGTCCGCTAGGATAAAACCGCCGTGGTGGGACGCTGGACTCGAAGAGTCCAAGAGGCGTCTCAATAACTTCAGGCGCACCAGGGACTACAAAGTCGCGGATAGGGATCAATTCAGAGTGCTCAGGAACGAGCATCTGAAAAAGATTAGGAGGGCCAAGATGGAGTCGTGGAGGAAGTTCGCTACCTCCATAAACTCGGACATCTGGGGCCCTGTCTATCGTTGGGCTAGGAATGGTTCTTCTAAGAGTAGGATTCCAAGCTCCGTGCTCCGGGAAGACGGAACCTTCACGGTGACGGCTTTGGAGACGGCTGAGTGTCTGTTGGAGAGTCTCATCCCCAGGGACGTGACTGCTCCCATCTTCGAACATGGCATTGTTGAGAGAGAGAGGCCGGAGGTCACGGAGGCGGAGGTTAAGAGGGCCGTCTGGAGGATGGCCCCTAACAAAGCTCCGGGATTGGACGGTATCACCGCCGGGGTTCTCAGGAAGGCCTGGGGCGTAATAGGCACGCCGCTAACCAGTGTCCTGAGAGAGTGCCTTAGGAGGTCGGTCTTTCCGGATTGCTGGAAGACTGCTGAGGTCGTGGTCATCAGCAAAGGTCAGGATAGGGACCCGAGCCTTCCTAAGTCATACAGACCGGTTAGCTTGCTTTCGGCACCGTCAAAAGTGCTGGAACGGCTGGTGGTGGACAGACTTGAGGAAGAGACGGGGGGAGCTCTGTCAGAGGAGCAACACGGTTTCAGAGTCGGCAAGTCTACAATCAGCGCGATCAAGTCGTGTCTGGATTGGGTGGACAACAGTCAGGAAATGGTGGTAGGTGTTTTCTTAGATATCTCAGGCGCTTTCGATAACCTGAGATGGAACATATTGATTAGGGACATGATGACTCTGGGCGCATCAGATGCGACCAGATCAATCATACAAAGCTATCTGACGGGCAGGAGGGCGGTGCTCTCGGTGGAGGGAGCGACAGCATTCGCGGATCTCACCAGAGGCTGCCCTCAAGGCTCACAGCTAGGGCCAAGTCTTTGGAATTTGTCGATGGATAGGGCGTTGGTCACCAACAATGATGACAGGGTTAAGCTGGTCGCGTATGCGGACGACCTCGCGGTTCTCATCGCAGGTTCCGACATCTTGGACATTCAAGGACGAGCCAGAGCGACGCTCGGCGCTTTACGCGACTGGGCGGAGCTGAGAGGTCTAACCTTCTCGGCGAGTAAGTCTCAAGCTATCCCTCTGAAAGGCGGGTTGCGGTCGGGTTTCACCGTGCCCTTCGGGGCGCAGGATATCGTGGCCGTAGACTCAGTTAGGTATCTAGGTGTTGAATTGGACAGCAAGAGAAATTTCTGGGCGCACGTGAGCATCGTGGCCGGAAAGTCCGAATCCTTGTACAGCAGGCTAAGAGCGGCATCGTCAGCTGACTGGGGTCTTCGGCAGTCCACCTCCGCAGTAATATATAGGGCGGTCTTCCTGCCCCGTATCACTTACGCCGCGGAGATCTGGGCTAAGGGAGTCCTCACCAAGAAGGCGATAAAACTCCTCGGCAGCAAGCAGAGGAGGGCCCTTCGTTCTCTTACGGGGGCATACAGTACGACCTCAACGGACGCGTTGCAGGTGGTAGCTGGGCAGCTGCCTCTCGATTTGGAAATTCGTTGGCATGTGGTTAGGACTAGAAGGAAAGCTGGTCAAATCTCAGAGGAAGAGATGAGCGACCAGTGGGATAGGCTCTTGGACATCTGGCAGGATAGGTGGGATAGTAGCGTGAAGGGTCGGTGGACCTACGGTATCTTCCCAGACATCAGGAGGAGACTGGTCCTCCCACTCGAGGTGGATCACTACGTGTGCCAATTCCTAACGGGGCACGGGGACTTTAACTCCAAGTTGGAGTCCTTCAACCTACGGGGAGAGGCCATGTGCAGGTGTGAGACCGAGGACGAGTCGGTGGACCATGTGCTCTACAGATGCCCTTTGCTCTCTGCTGAGAGAGATAGGGTCATCAGGCAAATTGGCGAGGACGTCTGGCCGTGTGAGACCAAGGTGTTTATGGACACGAGGTCGAACTACTGTGCCCTACGTCGCTTTGCTAGGGAGGCCATCGAGGCCAAAAGATCTTCGGACAGGTTAGGCTTAGTTCCTGGTTAGGTAGGTCCCGTTAAGGCGACGGGCGGGTTGGTGGGGACCCAGGGTGGGCGCTCAGGCGTCCGTCCGAATCTCCACTAAAAAAGGCCCACCACTAGCCGGCTGGGGAGCCAAAATAGTGGGAGGTCATAGACCGGGTTGACCAACCGACGTCAACTATAAACCTAGTCGGTGCCACGGGAGAGGGGAGCCCCATTGCACGCTGGAGCGGCTCGCCCGCTCTGGCTGCTTTGCCCCTCGAGGTTGAGGAGCCTACCTCGGCTGAAACGTGGTGGTTGTGGGACAGGCGTTAGATAGTAGAACCCAAAACCACAGGACCTTGTGGGAAGACGGTACCCAGGTGGCACTTAACTGAGTCATCCCAGTCTTCAAGATAGGTACGGGCTCATGCCCGGTGCTGGTCTTCCATAGAGCCACGTACAAAAAACTCTAGAAGACCCTAGTCTGGTGGGAGGTAGCTCCCGCCTTTCTAGTTCCACCCCCGCCCGTAAGTAGCGCATAGCGCTAAGGCACGGACGAGGTGCGGTAAGGCGCAAGCCGAAAAACCCGGGCTCTCCATGTCCCTATCTACTAGCGTTGCGACAACAGCGACATAGTTCAGACGTGTGTTTCCGCGTTCGACGTTGCTCCGAAGGGCGATCCTAGTGGCGATAACCGGTTTTTAACTTAACTTCGAAAGTTTTCGGGAATTTTTTCTAAAAAGTGTTCAAAAAGTTTCGGTATAGTGCATAGTGCGATATAAGTCGGGTTTCACGGAAGTTCGCTTAGCCGTTCGCGGGTAAAAGCCGAAAGGCCGTTTTACGTGTTAAAGGATAGGACCTTACCGTAAGTGGAGGGGAGAGCTCTGGTCGGTAGTCACGTACACCGAGTAATTCCAGGAATCGGCCGCCCGTTCTGAAATCCGTGACACGTGTAAGTGCGTTCAACTGCTCATTAAAGTGTACAAATAATTAGCACGGCCGCCGTGAATATAATTTGGGTAAAATCGTTAAATAAAAACGTGTTTTAAGTAAAGCCTATAATCTTGTGATATACGTCAATCGAATCGCGGGCGCGGCATTGGCTAATAGTGTTTGAAGTGGTTTCCCACAGTGTTAAATTGCCGAAAAATCGGCGGGCCATAGTGCGGGTTATTGCCATAGCGGCATTAGTGCAGTCCGTTTGAAGTGAGCTTACATACGGTTTTAACATTGCCGAAATTACGGACGAATAACGTTGTGGGCGTAAATCAAATAAGCCGACGACAAAGCGGGCCATATAGCATTGCCGAAATTTTCAGGATTTATTTTTTGGACATTTAGGTAAACCAGGACACTCCTACTACTGGACACAAATTGTCGAGTGGGGTATCAAAGAAAAGCCAGGACTCGGGTGAGTACGAATATAGCATTTAAAACTATCTTACTAGAAGGAGAGTCGAGTAAAATAGAAATAAGAGAGTAAAAACTAGGTACCAGGTACCAGGGTATCATAAAGAAACAGCGCGCTCGCCCATATGTTTTGCATGGCCGCCCGGGACTTGTAATATTTCAATAATTAATACACTACTCTCTTATATTGAGGAGAGTCGAGTGGCATAGGACTTAACTACCGTGAACATCCGAATTGGTCGAGTGGGGTATCAATCAACGCGTAATTACATTACAAATAACGTGGGTCTAATTTAAAATAATTAGGTAAACCAGTTTACGTGATTTGACCCAAAAACAGACCTCCAATAACGGAAAAGTACCAGGGTCTCATAAAGAAAATCGGTTACTCCGAGTTTACATTGCTCTTATGGCCGCCCGGGACTTAGAATAATTTTACATAAATTAAAATCCGAGTGACGTCACATAAAGGTATTATCAGGTTCATACTATCAACAGCGCACTATCAATAAGTCTCATTATCACTATCACTACTATCAATGGATAGAAGTGCATAGATAAGATAAGCCCGCCAAAATTTAAATAACATCAACGGGGTACCGCA